AATTGGGTAATTCTCTTATTGCATTTGCCCTCTTTCATTGTACTGATATGCTGATTTGTTATTATTTGGTGAGACTAAGAGTGTTGCTTTTGATGAAACAGCTTTAAAGGATTTGGTTTTTACAGTGGGGAAACACACAAAGAATTTCAAACTGATAAGCAGGGCCCCAGATGCAGCAGAGCCCAGTAGGAGACACTGACAAGACATCCCAGTCCTTCCTGATGTGTTTGAGTTCTGTTGAATGCTTCTGTAGGAAGGAAAGGAAGCTCAATAGTTATGATGAAAAAGAGAAACTGTGGTCAGACATTGCAAGAAATATTCCAAACAATGAAGGATTCAAGAAAAATAAGAGCTGCATTGTTCCTTTTTATTGTAGAGTGAAGTGGGTTTTTTGCTGACCTATCATTTTCCATTGTTTTGGGTTTTTGCATCACTGGGCTCACTCTAAGGGGTGTGGAAGGGGGGTGCTGTCCTGCTTTTAGGGCAGAATAAGCCCTTGCATAGGCAGAGACCAAGTGTGATTGAATGGGCTTTGAGCGAGTAATGCAGAACAAGGGACTGGTGCGTGTGCCCTCACTGCCCAGCTGCTGCTCTCAAGTTCTGATTGCACAGGGGAACGTGGACCCTCTTCCACCTGCCAGCTCTGTGTGAGGCACACTGCCCTGCTTCTGAGAAGACAGACATTAAAGGTATTAACCCTGCTGAGCTGGCAGGGGAGCTCCCCTGTAGCAGAGGTACACGCTGGGAGCCTCACTGAGGTGTGCAGCATTTTTGACTCAATTACAGTCAGTACACTTGTGTGGTTTTGTTTTGCTTGAGCTTCAAAGAAGGATGGGGCAGAAATTAATCTGGTGCAAGTCAAGTGTCCCTTAAATTTCTCCACAGGGAAAGACAGAACTACTGTTTCTTTAGCACAGACCTTTTCTTTGTGTCATTTTCTTAGAGACATTCTGTCGCTAATAGCTTGAGCTGATTAACGCCTTAGTGTCTCCTACAGTGAATACCAGTGGGGATCAGCTTTCATTTAATTAGATGAGGTAAAGCAGAGGGCTTGGAGGCAGACAGGTAGATGTTTATCAGATGGATGGGAGCTTATTGTTCCAAATCTTTGCTGTCACAGAACATTTCCTGGCTGGGATCTGCAAGCATGGCATGCCGTTCATATGCTAACTAGGGACACTTTGCTGCTTCTTACCTGGGCACCAGGGCACTGTTGATACAGGATCAAATAAATACTGTGGGAAAGCTTGGCCAGAGGGGGGGTTTGGAGGAACACAGTGAGCAGATGAACCAGAGTTTTAAGAGTGGAATTTTGAGAGTGTCCTTTGCTCCTGTAGTTTGTTCTGTTCTGTTCTGTGTAAGGAAAAAGCAGTGTTTATTGGAGTGACATATGCCAGGAAAGCACAGTAAATGTCTGTGGAAGTGAGCTGCACTGTTCAAACTGCAGCTTAGTGTTGTTTTAAAAACAACTTAATTCACCAGCAAAGTGCTTGAGCATAGGTTTAGGATCTGGATTCTCAGAACTGAGAACAACAGTCTTTCCTATTGATGTCAGGAAGTGCTTGTATTTATGTAACAGAGGATACTGGAGCTCATATGGCAGTACAATACAGAAGGTGCTTTTCTTGGCCCAGAGAAGACATTTAGTATTATGGTAAGAGGTGTGTTTCAAGTTTAGGAAAGAGCTAATAATGAAAAAATATCTGATTTTTTTTTAAAATTCGATTTCAGAAGAAATATAATCTCCAGGTGGTTTCTTATTCCTTATTCTTGCTCTCGGGTTCTGATGCTTGGAGTTTTATTGAAGCATCTATGCAATTATAAAAAAAAATCTTCGTAAAGTGGTTCAAAGTACGCAAGAAAGATGTTCAGAAAATGTTAAAACCAGTGACATTTTAACAACATCAGATTGTGTAAAGGCTGCAATGGTGTAGATGTTTTTCTCGGTTGTCTTGGCAAATGGAACCAAATAAAACCAGTTTGGGTTTGTGGGTTTTTTTAAAATCTAAACAGTGGGAAGAATTTTTGACTAGATGAGTCTGTTCTGTCTCGTGCAACTTCCTGAGCGCCTTGCTGAGCTTATGGAGCACTTTAGCTGAGCTTTTCGGAAGCAGTTTGTGAGATTGGAGCACACTTTGGTGCTTTGGCTGCCAGTGCCTGTGTGGGATTGTGTTCCCGCACCCGGACGCGCGGTGGGAAGCTGTGCCAGGCACAGAATCCGCATCGGTGCCTTGCTCCCCGACGAGTCTCTTTCCGCCTTGTCCGGGCCAGCGCTCTTTGGGAAGCGCCGATCCGCAGGAGTGCCTGGCCCTTGTGGGCAGCCCGTGTTGCGGAGCCCTCCGCTCTCTTCCTTCGCGTTTGTGCTGCCCTGGCCCCTCCTCCAAGGGAAGGAGCTGCCGAGCAGCGCCAGTGGCTGGAGCCGGGGCGGGGCAGGGCCGTGGGCCCGCGGGGTTCCTTAAGGCCGGGCCGGGCCGGCTCCGCCCGGAGCGAGCGGAGCGGAGCGGGGCAGGGAGCGGCAGCCGGCGGCGGGAGGTAGGAATGGAAAAGAACGGAGCGGAGCTGCGGCCCCTCCGCTCCCCTGCCCCGAGAAGGGGCCCCGGGGGCGGGATGGCTGCGCTGCCATGGGTGGGGGGTTCGCAGTGCGCTGAGCTTTGTTCACGTGTCTGAAAACTGCTTTGAAAGGAAGGGTCGGTGTCGTTTTGGCGATTGAAGGCGGAAAGCCGGGACGAAGGAGACTTCCCTGGGCATCAGGTAAGGGCTATCGGACCGCAGGGCAGATGTGCGAGGGCTGGCGGCCAAGGGGTGATTCACTCTGGCTTGCTGGAAGTTCCAGGTGATATTCCAAAGTCGACTCATGAGTAATCTCTGAGTATATTTAAGCAGAATGAGCCTGCTGGACCAGCCCTATCGGAGTCCAGAGTCCCGCGGGGCGGACGGGGGGCCGAGGAGCCGCCGGGGCTTTTGCGCAGCTTCCGCCGGGTGCTGCTCTGTGGGGAGGATGTAACGCGGCTTCTGCTTCCTTTAGAGGCACTTTCTGGAGCTGAGAGTTTGCTTTACTGATATCTTAAACTAAAATAATGGCGCGGTAGGAGGGGGTGTTGTTCTAAACCGTTAATTGGAAATTACTACTACAAAGTATTAAAAGGGTGCCATCAAATTTCATGTCACTTTGTAAATAAATAAAGCTTTATCTCCTTGCTTCACAGAAGATCTTTGAGACTGTATAACAGGCTTTTGGCACAGAATTCAGAACCCAGAGCCCAGTTAAGATGTTCTAAAATACTTCTTTTCTCCCTGCTCTATTTATACAAAGTAACTGAAACAGCATTGTAAAGTTACGGGAAAGCAATAAAAAGGTTTTTCCTAATCCACGAAGAGAAAATGTATAGAAAGGCTTTTTTAAACGAGAAGTAAAGCATTTCAAACAGTGTGGGTGATGCAGCCGAGCACGATACATTTCATTAGGCAGCGCTGGTCAATCGCGAGCGGCCCCGTTGGAAAACTCCCGGCGAGCTCCCGAGGGCGCTGCCCGGCAATCCCGCGGCCCTGGCGGACGCTCAGCCGGGCTCGGCTTTCCAGCGGCACCGGGCGGTTCTGTTGTGCGCTCCGAGTCCGGGAGTCCTGCCTGGGTGTGGAGCATCCAGTGTTTGTCCTGCCGGGCCGCCTGCCGAGAAGGTTGGGTGGGAGCAGGGATGAGATATTAATATCACTGTGATATCAAACAGTGACTGCTGGGAAAGGAACGGGAATTTAACAACGGGCACCCAGTACCTCGCCCCTGAGTGCCAGACCGTAGTTTTTGCTGGCACTCGAGTACAGCACTGGGATGCGTTCAGTGCATTTTTTAAACAGTAGTTCTGTGACCAAATGTAGAAAGTTTGACCAGAGGGCTTTGAGCACTGACCAGCACATTCCAAGCCTAATGATTCATGCTTAGGGTTTAAAACCAAGGCTACAGGTTTGCAGTTCAGTTGCACATTAGTCTTTCTTGCAACTGCCTTGCTGTGTCTTTTTAAAACTTGAGAGAAGGATTTGAGTAGTTCACTATTTGACAAGTAATTAAAAGAGGTCACTGGATTTGATGCTTATTTGAGCTGACAGAGTAGAAGCTGTGGCATAGCTGGCAGATTAGCAGTTCTCTGAGGTAATTCTCTATGGATTCATACCTGCTGCTAACTGCTGCTTTATTAGCCCAGAGTGGATTCTGGGTGAGTTCAACAGGTGAGGGAGTTTGGGAATGGTCTGCAAGCCCTACAAACCAAACATTTTAAAGGTTTTTGTCTTAAGCTGATGATGTCTAAGCTGACACAGGCTGCGGGCACTGCCTGCACCCCAAGAGGTCCAGCTGTTGAGATGCCAGTATGTGAGTTCCTCTGTCATGAGCTGTCTGATGAGCAGTTCTTGTTCCTTTCCCCATGGAAAGCAGGTAAATTCAGGGTGGATTTTTCATTTCAGCCTCATGACACTGTAGGAACTGCATGTTGCTTCTGGGCCAGCCACAGCAGGCATGTCAGCACCTCAGCAGGACTCGGGTATTGGCATCCTGGTGAATGTCATGAGGGGAGCAGAACAGAACTTCAGAGAAACTTCTTTCTTGGCTGCACACAGTTTTTTTAAGAGGTGGAGAAAAAAATCTTGTAACACCCATGTTTTCCTTTCCTGGAGAAGAATCTCACTTGCCCCACGTTTTTTGTTTTGGACTGAAGGGTGGTACTACCCCTTCATCAGGCTGCAGAACATTTCAGTGTCTGGTTTTTTTTAGGGAGCAGGTCAGCTGTTTATCTGGGTACATGCTTCGATAGAATCATGGTTACTCAGCTGAGAATACAATAATTCCTTAAAAGTGTTTTGAGGGATAAAATTGGATTTTACTGGAAGAGCTTGTGGGTTACCTCCCTTATCCTGAAGGGAAGAGCACTGAAGTAGATGTGATAAGATGTGTTTGCTCTCTCTCTGCAGAGTGAAGGTTGCACAGGAGGAGAAGGGATGGGGAGCAGGGTTCCACCCTGGCTGCAGGAGCTGCTGGGCTGGTGCTCTGCTGCTCCTGCCCAGCTCCAAACCAATTCCCTCCCCACAGTTCTGTGAACACACGTGTTCAGTGTGAAAAATAATTCTGTCTTGGTCAGATGAAGTTTCTTTTGAAACAATGTTGTCGATTAAGCTTGTTGCTGTTTAAAATTAAGTATTTACTAATTTCTGATGTTCCCGAAGTAGCTCCCCTGTGCTCCTTGATGCTTTTCTTTGAATTTTGATAGGATTTTGGCTAACTGCTTTCAGCATTTTACTATACAGATGGCATCGTTTTTGTTGTGTAGGAGTTTCTTGTGCCAGCCAGAGAAAGACTAAATGATATTTTAAATAGGAAAACAAAAAGAGTTGGCACAAGGCTCAGGGAGGAAGGAGTGTTTTGAGTGCTTTCACTGAGCTTAAATTTCCCTTCTTTCAGTTAGCTGGGTTTCTATTTTAATTTGCAGTTGTTAAAATTCAGCTTGAACAACATGCACAAAGGTCTTGGAACTTCCTGACACACAGGATACCATATAGAAATTTTCTACCTGAGAAAAATACTCTAATGCAGGATCTCCAGAGGTGTGTCTAGGGAGTATCTGTAATATTTGGAGTTGAAGGCCAATCAAAATACACAATTACTGCTTGAATATTTTCCTTTTGAGGCCTCACTGGGATGCCATTTGCTAGTTAATTCTAGCTTTTCCTGCTGGTCCTCCCACTCCTCCTGCATTATCCCTATTACAATACAAGCCTTTCCCTCAGTCAGAGCAACAGTGCTCTTTTTCATCTACTCTGTCAGCCAGAGAGTTTTCACAGTGCTTAGAAGGCTTTGGAAACAAGGAGGGTTTTTTTTCATTTGTTTTCAACCCAGCTTTAGCAGAAAGCAGAAGTGAAATGGAACCACGAGAGAGTCAGCCCTGCAATCGTTCTGAGTATTTGGTTTAATCTTGAGGTGAGATGTAGCTGACTTCCACTTCTTCCAGCAGGACTCCCTTAACAATCCAAACCCAGTCACAGGAGATTCAGAAAATCTATGTTTGAGGTGTGTTCTGTAGAATTAAAGAGGGAAATGTCTCTGTATATTTAGAATGCTTAGATAGAAACAGTGCAGCCTTTGGTCTTTAAAAATCAAACCAGCTACCAAACAGTTTCCTACTGTTTTGTATTTTAGTTCTACTAGACATTAAAACTGTGACAGTACTGAAAGTCACATAATAGGCACATAACACTTCTTTTATACCCAGTTATCAAGCTGGCCCTAAAACTGGCTTTTTTTGTATGTATCTGGTTATTTGTAGAAGAGTGTCCATTACCTGTTCCCTTAACTGAGTGTTTTTAGATGGAGGCAGATTTCCGCAGATGGATGTTTGTGTCTGGCAAGAGTTGTAAAACAGAAAGACATTCCTTTCTGTTCTGTTTTGTTCTTTACAAGCTGGACACTAAGTGCAGGAAAGGATTTTTGGTGCCCAAGAGTCCAGAACTTTTAGCAGCAGCTGCTGCACTGCAGAATTGAAGCTGGGAGTTATCTCCTCCTCCTCCTCCTCCTCCTCCTCCTCTTCTCCGCCCCACTCCTCCTCCCCGCCTTGCATTCAGGCTGGCGCTGGGATGAGCTGTGCAAGGCCAGCTGGCTGCTCCTCTCACTAGAGCGCTGCTGCCCAGCAGCCTGGGACACACTGCAGGCTGTTTTTTGGGGAGCTGGGCTTCAATGGCCACCCGGACTAGCAAGAAGCAAGGACTGCTCATATGGACAGCTCATTTTTATCGTGTGCAGAGTCGGCTTTGTAGTGGGATGTTGAAATATGACACAATGCCTGTTTGTTTGCAATAGCTGCAACTCTCGTAGCAGAGATTCAAGTGGGAAACAGAGAGGGAATCCAGAGCCAAACCAGCGGGGGATTTAGGAACTGTGACGCCGAGTCCTCTCTCCTATACCGGAGCAAGCAAAGGAAAGAGAGGTAGAGGAAAAAAGACTGAGCCTTGCAACAGCCGTCACCCTGACGATGTGTCAGTCAAACACCCTGCAGGGACCAGAGCTCCACACAGGGAAATGGTGAGATGCTACAAAGCTTTATCTAACCCTCCACCCTCTTGCTACAACCTCCGCAAAGTTAAAATTCATGTCCGGAGGCTGCGTTCAGGGAACGGCGGCAGCAGCAGCTGTGCCGGGGACCAGCACCCACAGCTGGAGAGTCCAGGCCCAGCTGGCTCTGCTGGTGGGACACCAAGTAGGAGAACTCGTTTCAGGTACTGTTCAGTATTTTCTGCTTTGCAGGAGTGGTGACTGAGGCGGGAGGGAGGCCGGGAGGGTTTCTGGGCAGAAGGAGCGGGAGCCATCTGCGAAGCTTTTGTTTGGCCTAATTACTATAAAGCTCCTTATACATTGTATTGGCAGAGAAGGGCATGCTGTTCCATGACAAGGGGAATGGGGAAGCTTTCATTCCTTTCCCTTCTACTCTCTATCACTAGGAGAATGGAAAAATTAGTTGAGGGGCCGCTCTGAAACCAGGCCAAGGCAGTGAGAAGCCCGAGGGCTCCAGCGCGATGCAGCTCTGCAGGGATTGGTCCAGGAGCGACTGCAGTGAAGGGGGGGAGAGCAGCAGGAGGGGGAGAACGGGACCCAACCCGGCTGCTGGCCCGCCTGCCCTGCTGGGTGGTGGGGATGGGAGGGAGAATGTGAAGTGTCCCTTCCTATTCCCATGGCGAGTCAGTCCGGCCTCCTGCTGAGAATCCTGCATTAACTCTGCTAAGACAGCACTTCTGCTCAGGGTTCTTTTGCATTAAGATGCACAGATCATTCTCTATTTATTAGTTCTTCAGGGGAAAGAAGTTGTGTTCCCTGCAGAAAAAACATCTCTGAGCCAAAAGCACCATCTTGCATCCCAAAATGGTGACAGTTATACCTGCCTGATACTTTAATTCTGATCCTAGTTTTGAAAAGAACGAGTTGACAAGAAAACTTCCTTTGAAATTCTCAGCTTCTTTCCATCTTGGAAAGACATATGCAGTATTTTGTAGTTCCTGTTTCATGTCATAGGATCCCTTGAGAGAGTGAGCTGTTGGGAGCAGCCAGACTGTGCCACTTCAGTTTGTGTGTGCACGTCGCTGTGACCTGCAGAACGGTCTCCTAGCCAGGAGTTCAGTCAGTAATTTCAATAGTCTGCCCTCAGGTAGACAGATTTCCATTTGATAATGTGACCTTGGAAATGCCAGTGGCTTTTTCATGAGTAGAAGCCAAAGAATAAATGGGGACCCAAAGGGTTTTGCATCCAGACCTCCTGCAAGGGTCTGAACTGAGGCCCTTAAAGTCCGTCCTCTGTTAAGAAGCTGAGCAGCTTTTCCCTGTGAGAGTTAGGTCAACTTCTCCCCATGACTATTTGTGCAAAATGAGGTCTCTCTCAGTCAGGACATCCATGTAACAAAAAAAATCAGAGATGCAGCTGGTTATGAGGGGAGTAGATTATTGGGCTACGGAGACTAGATTGTTGTGCAGTAGTAGAAATATTTGCTTTGTCCACATGTTCCCTATTCAGAACCAGGATACTCAGTGAAGGCTTTAAGACCTGGAAACTGGTCTTACCTTTAATTTTTGAGGGTATTATTCATAAAACGTGACCTATGAGGGTGAACACCATTATTTGGACTTTTTAGATAAACTGTTCTATTTTGGGAAGGGAAGAACCAATCAAAATAAAGGAGTAAAGACTTGTAGTACGAAAGATTAAGAAACGTTTAGCAGGAATAACTGACCCAGCTGTCGGAAGCAGGTGGCTGTGCAGCTGAGATGCCTGACCCTCTGATGTTGTGTATGTAATCTTTCAGGTTGCAATTCCCCCAGCTGGCCCTGAGGCGAAGGTTGGGCCAGCTGAGCTGTATGTCTAGGCCTGCTCTGAAACTCCGTTCTTGGCCTCTGACTATTCTCTATTACCTTCTGCCTTTCGGTGCTCTTAAACCCTTGACCAGAGTGGGATGGAGGCCTATGAGCAGGGTAAGTGTGAGCAGCTCTCTCTCAGGTGCCACATCTGGGAGCCGTGTCCTGCAGCTGGCAGCAGCTGGGGGGAGAGCTGCTGCATGCAGGGCAGCCTGCAGATCACTGCTGTGAAAGCAGAGCTGCAGTTGGTGCTTCTGTTTAGTTTGCACTGTGGTTGTGTTGATCAGTTGCCTCACAGACAAGTGACTTGTTCAGGAGCAGAGAATTACTTTGTCCTCTAATAGTCAGGGAAAGTCAACAGAAACTTCTGAAGGAATTCAGTCACCTCACAGTATCAGGGCTAGGACAAGGAAGACCAAACCTTTTGGCAAGTTCCTTTTCCTGGTCCTGTTGAAATGGTCTCTTGTTTTTTGTTATTTTTGCACCAAGAGGGTTTGTTCCTCAAGTTCACTGAGCATTTGTAATCCAGCATGTCCAAATGATACACAAATCTCTGCTCTGTCACTGTTGAGACCGGGGTGTGGGATGCCTTGCTCGTAGTAATTCTCCCCACAAATCATGCAATTTCAGAATCCAGCAACAAAGTAAGGATTTTGATTGCAAACAGAAACAAAATTGCCATTCTTAAGCCTATTTCATTGAACATCTGTTCTGTCTGATCCCATCAGCTTGAAAACCAGGCTCCATTGAAGAGAAGGGCTTGCTAGGAAATACTGCTTATGACAATTGGTGTGACTTTACAGTAATATGTACATTTTTGGTGTCGGTAGAAAACAGCTTTTAGAAATTAATACAGTACAGGGCATGTCAAATAAAATGGCAACATTTTTTTCTTCAGTATTTCAACTTTATAACCTAAAGCACTGTTCATTTAGATGGTTTTATCTGAGTAAGATTAGGTTGGTACTTCCTTTCTGAAATATCCCTGTATGTACACAGGATGGTGATTTGTAAGTGAAATCTTAATTTGTTGTATTTGGTGTGATGGAGCCAGTGCATACTTGTGCTTGTGTTTGTGGCTGTGTTTTGCAAGACTTAATCATGAAGGATATGATTGAGAACAAGTGACTCTCACTAAGAAAAATCCCAGGGTTTAGCTGCAAGTTGAATGTAGCTGTTCAAAAACACCAGTCAGCAGATCACCACTTCCTTTGCAAAACTGGTTTCAGAGTGTTCAGTTCCCTTGGTCCATATTCCCCAGCTTCCCCCAGTTACATCATAGCCATGTGAGCTTCCTGGCTGACAGCAAACCCCACAAGAGCTGTCTGCTGGAATTATCAACAGAAAGATGTTGTCATCTCTCCACTTCCATCAACAGCAGATACCTCTTGCCAACTTTGTTTCATTTGTTTTCCTTGTTAAAACTTGGGTTTTGGTGCAAGTCCAAAGGTGTATTTCTACAGAAATAAAGGCACTTAATATTCTTGCAATTGGCAGCTCCCATTGTTGTGAGAGAAGGAATAAGGCTGGTATAAGTTTATAGCTGTGTAGCTGCATCCAGTGGGTACATTTCTTTGATGGTACTTGTGTCATTAGAGCATACAACACACAGTACTGGGAGTGGGAAGCACCCTCAGTCTGGGGAACATGTCATCCAACACTGAGAAGTTATTTTCCAGTCAATTTTCATTTAGTTATTGACAAAAATTTATACATTGGTAATGTTAAGCCTTTCTGATGAGCGTTATACTAGAATATGTGCAATGTCTCTTTTTTCTATAAGCCTCACATTGGGCAGTTTGCAGTAACTTCAGTGTGGACCTTCAGCCTGCAAAGGAGTGGAAATTCTGGCTTCACTTTCAAGTTCATCCTGTCTCTTGTCTGATCTCACCAGAATGGAGGGAATGATGATGAAGTGCAGTGTAAATTTTTTGCTGCCTTAAAGGCTGAATGAATGAATTCAAGGGAGGGGTTTGCAGGAACAGATTGATCCTTCCTGTGTTATGGGGGGAAATAAGGAAGCCCTCAGTGGGCAGAGCACTGACCTGCTGCCATTGTCCCCTCAGGTTGCCCTGTACAAGTCGGTGCCCACGCGGCTGCTCTCGCGAGCCTGGGGCCGCCTGAACCAGGTGGAGCTGCCCACGTGGCTGAGGAAGCCGGTGTACAGCCTGTACATCTGGACCTTCGGGGTGAACATGAAGGAGGCAGCTGTGGAGGATCTGCACCACTACAGGAACCTGAGCGAGTTCTTCCGCAGGAAGCTGAAGCCGCAGGCGCGGCCGGTGTGCTGCGTGCACAGCGTGGTGAGTGAAAGGGAGGGAGGGCTTACCCTGCACTGCCACTTCCCTCAGCCCCCACAGGAATGGCACTGCTGCACGAGGACTTAATGAACTGCTGACTGGTTCCTTTTCTCTCTTTGCTGTAGATTAGTCCCTCTGATGGAAAGATCCTTAATTTCGGACAGGTAAAAAATTGTGAAGTGGAGCAAGTAAAAGGAGTTACTTATTCTCTGGAATCTTTCTTAGGACCTCGCATCTCCACAGAGGAAATGCATTTTAGCCAGGGTAAGTTCTGTGTCAGTTCTGCATTTATTCTGCTGTGCCCTTTCAGTGTTCTCAGAAATCATAAAAGAGATGACAAAATGTAACGTTTTCTTGCACTGTCAGGAACAAAAGCAGGTCTGATTTTTGGTTTGTTTTATTTGCGGGTAACCATGTCATTGTTTAGTTCTTCTCTTTCTCACCAGTGGCTTTATACAGTCATGACTGGCTCATTCTGATGATCTGAACTGAGCTGCTTGGTTCCTATACTTGACTCCAAGAGCTGTTGCTATACTATGGCTGCAGCACTCCTGCAGTCACAATGAAATGGGCCCAAAAGCACTGGCTACCAAAACCAACAACATTGGTTCAATGGTTTTGAACATTTTTGAACATTGGTTCAAAACCAACAAACATCTTAACAAGATCCATGCTCAAGCACTACCTGTCTGATGACTTAGAGGACTCTTCACAAATTCTGTTCTTAAAGGACAGCTTTAGTAAAAATTCTGTTGTCCTGGATTTCAGTTTCTGCTGTTTTGCTTATGGAAGGGCAAACTCCAAAAGGAAATTTTTCACTGTGATTGAAACAATCCAGGATCTAATTTTCTTAGAAAGGGGCATTTGGAAATATTGGATTTCTGCATGAAACCTATGTTTGTGTAGTCTCACCAATCCACATGAGCTACATTTAATCCTCTGCTATGCACAGTCTAACACAGACTGCCTGGCTAAGGTAGATGACTTCAGGAGGAATATCTTTAACCCCTTCCTTTCCCTGCTTCTTCTGCAGCCCCACCTGGTAACTCTTTTCAGAAACAACTGGTCACAAAGGAGGGGAATGAGCTCTACCACTGTGTAATTTACCTTGCACCAGGGGATTATCACTGCTTCCACTCGCCCACGGACTGGACGGTGTCGCACCGCCGGCACTTCCCAGGTTGGTTTCTGTTCCTGGGAAACAGCTGCAGAGCAGCCATGGGGGGAAGCACTGCTATGGGCCTCTGCAGAATGAGACACACCAGTGCAGAAACTGGACAGTAACTTGATAGACAATGGTAGAAAAGTGATTTGTCTCAAACAGTAATGAGTTTTGCAGCTGTAGAGTTTACCAGAGCAAATCACATAAGAATGGTGAAAACAGTAATATTGTATTCAAACTGTTTGAGTTGTTTGAAGTACCCCTTGATTCAAGCTGAGCTGATTTGTTCCCAAACACTGTTTATTCAGTTTGCACCTGAAATATAGAAAGTTCTGCAGCTCACACCAAACAGTAGCCTAAAGCATGATCTCTGCTTGTGCTTGGCAAAGAAAATGCAACTGAACAGTTACACTCCTGGAGCTGGGATCAGATGTTCTTGCAGATAAAAATATTTTACTTCTTGGTATCTAGCAAAACCCTAAGTATTTGGATTTGGTTTCAAACACCATGAGAGAGAGACTGACCCACCACACACATCCTCCTGTGACCCCTTTGTTTTCAGCACAGACTTCTCTTTCATTTGCTCTGCCTGGCACTTGCCTCTCTTCCTACAAATAACTGACAGAGCTGTTTACTGGATCAGCTCCAGCTACACTGAAAACACCATCTGAGTGGCATTACAATATCACCACAAACCAGACAACCTAACCTGAATATTTCCTCATTTCTTCAGGCTCTCTGATGTCTGTCAATCCTGGAGTAGCTCGCTGGATCAAGGAGCTGTTCTGCCACAATGAACGCGTGGTCCTTACAGGTGACTGGAAACATGGCTTCTTCTCACTAACAGCTGTAGGAGCAACAAACGTGGGCTCCATCCGCATCTACTTTGACCAGGTGAGCAGGATCATAGCAGGCATCTTTCTGTTAATGGTTGAGGTTGGTGCAGCATAACAAAATTTAAAAAGAAAAATTATTACCCTGAAATTAGGGTGTTTCACAGTACTGATATTCTAAGACTGATTTAAACAGTGTTGTCTCCAATATAGACAATTTAAAAAATATTCCTATTGCACCTTTGAACTGTGAGTTTGTGCATGGAAAATGTGTGAGTGTTACAGCCCACAGCTGTGGTGATGAAGGAATGCAGAGCACTGAAATCCTTCTCTTCTTCCTTCTCTGTACAGGACTTGCACACGAACAGTCCAAGTTACTCTAAAGGTTCCTACAATGACTTCAGCTTCATATCCAACAACAACAAGGAGGGAATCCCCATGAGGAAAGGGGAACATTTAGGGGAATTTAACTTAGGCTCTACAATTGTACTAATCTTTGAGGCACCCAAGGACTTCAGATTCAACCTCAAGGCTGGACAGAAAATCCGCTTTGGAGAAGCACTGGGCTCTCTATAGGAACTGTCTCAGCAAGAAGATTTTCTATAAAAAGGGACTTTTTTCACACCACTGAGTGTTTCATTTATCAAGTTTGTATCACTCAGCAGGACCTGGGTGAGGAGGAAGAAAGATGTCACTGCTGCATTAAACTTGAAAATATTTGGTCTACATTTACCTGCTGCTGAATGTAGAAACTGAATTGAATGATCATGGATGTATTGGGTACAGCTGCCTTCAAAGATGTTGCCCATGGTGGTTTCAGGCCCACCCTGTGCCTGTAGTCTTTCATGTTCTGCCCTGAATGTGCCACAGGATCATTATGTTCTTAGAGCCTCTAAGTCCCTTTTAAGCCTTCCTAGGCAGGTGCAGTAGGAAAGGGTGGAGGTAGAGATTACCTGTAGTTAAAGTGACACTGACAGGCTGAGTCAGACCTTGTACCTTGTATCTACAGAATCTGATTTACAGACCTTGAGTAAAGAATATATTCTCATATTTATTTTATTCTAAGAAACTCCACCCAAATTACTAGATAAAAGCAGTCTCTGAATGCACAGATGGCCAAACAGTGAAATTTGCTGGTGTGGCTTCGTGGCCCCAACAAAGCAAAATGTACAACAGTCAGTCAGTACAATGAGTGACACTCATCCCTCATCCTGAGTTTTGTACTGTTAGACAACTTTAATTCTTTTGTCTGACATTGCTGCTTTAAAAATGGGCTTTGCAGTGTATTTTAAACCTGAAAACAGCGTCTACATTCCAGACAACAGAACTTGTCATCTTGCGATTTTCTTTTCTTTTTTAAAGGCAGACAAAGCTCTGTGTCCTCTTCCTAATCCATGGTTTTATTTTGCTATTCCAGGCCTTAAAGTTTTTGTCTTTATGAAAGACAGTTAACTTCATCTCTTGGATTAAGGAGTTAGAAGACACAGGGCATATTTTTGCTGGGTGATGTGATGGCAACTAAAGTGTGCTTTTCCTTTCTGCTGTGTATCTTGTTACTTTGTCACTAAATTCTTGAAGAATTAGTTCCTCTGTTAAAGGACAGCTTCAGCTACTTCAGGACCAATTTTTATTGTACAGAGTGAAATGCCCTATGCACTGACTGTGTTTAAAATATTTATGGCTTTTTAAAGAAATCCCGTGTTGCTTCCCAGGTGCCAATCTGGCCCTCCCTTGACTGGGCAACAACTTCATCTTATTTAAAATACAAAACAAAAAACCACACTGGCTCTGACTTGTACCCTCATACTTAATGCTAGGAATGTGCTGGGGGCTGAAATCTTTGTGCTGAAGCTTAACCCACTGTAAAATTTTAAAGCCTCTTTGTGACTTCACATCAAGAAGAGTTAAAATCTAACAAACACCTTGGATCTACTGCATGTGGCACTGACAAAAACCACTGCCAAAGTGAAGAGGAATTGAGTTTTAAAGCAATGTATAAATTGTTTTTTGAGAATAAACTGTTTCAAGTCCCAGCACTCAAACATGATTTTGCTATCCAGAGCTTGTTGGAGTGGACACGCTTATGAAACCTGCCTTTGTGCTTTCTGAAAGATTTCTCCTACTACTTCCTTGCTTGAGCTACTTTTCTGCTACTTCAAGGAGATGACAGGCTCTGATCTCCTAAAGAAACCCTTCTTTGTATGCACTGCAGAAAATAGAATATAATTTTGTTGTACAAATGTCCAGTTTGCCAAGTCCTGTATGCTTAGCTTGTCATCAGGAAGGAAGGGATGATAAACTGCCTCTAAGTGATGCAGCCAGGCATGGGTCAGATGAGGGTGGCTGTTTGGGTGACAAGCAGGAGAAAATTCATTTGGCTCCAGGAGTCAGTGTTTCCTCACACAGGGAGGAGTTTGAAAGCTTGAAGTGGCTCTCAGCCACCTATCTTGTTAAAGTTCTTGGCATTAGCAAGTTTACTCCTGCAGCAGTATAGTACCAGATACAAGTCTTTTTAAACCTTTGAGAGTGAGAAAAGAGTAAGGCAAATATCAGCTCTGAGAGGATAAAGTTTGGGTGAGCTTTTTGATTAAACTTCAGTGTGATGTTAACAAGAGAAAGCAAATTTGTTCCAGTGGATGAGAGAAAAAGACAACTGAATCTTTTCCTTTTTTCCACTGGGGTCTATGACATCCAGACAGAGCCAAAGGAAGTTTAAGCTTTAATTTCTTCCTACTCAGCAGCATCATCCATGGTATCTGAAGGTACATATTAGCCTAGTGATGGAGGATGGGTTGCTTGATGTTTGCTTTATTAGAAATCTCGGAAGGAAGAGAGGATTCAGCATGCAAGTGGCTGTTTATGATGGATTTAATACTGTGCAGAGCGAGCTAATCAACCAACATTGCTTGTGATGCAGGGGCCAGCACTGCACCCCAGGAGTGAAAAAGTTCCTCGAGGGTACTGATAATGCTGTGAATTTCTCCTGCATGGAGAATCCATTTAATTCAACTGTATCAGTAGCACGGTATTTTTGTATGTCAAAGTGTATGACTTACTGACATGAACTCATTTAATTGCAAACATTTTGAAATAAAGAGTCTCATATGTGTTGCTTATCTTTGTGGCATGACAGGTAACCTAAACTAGGTATTGCAAGTGCAGCATGAGGTAGGTGTAGCTCCAGTTTGTAACAACAGCTCTAGCTACAGTAACAAAAAAAGCCAAATTATTTTCACTTAATTTATCAAATATAAATTCCATCCATAGAACCAAGTGAATGGATACATCTCTTCCATTGTCCTGTGCTATGAAAGGGGCAAAAAGTCCTACCCCTGAGCTGGGCAGCTGGTGGATCCTACAGGCCCAGGGCCAGCTGGATGTCGTGCAGGCGGGCAAGCAGGGCCTGCACGTGCTGTCTCTCGGCCAGCTGTGCTTTGGTGAGAGTGCTGATCCTCACCTGCAACTGCAAGGAACACCAGTGCATCAGCATCAACAGAAGTTTGTACAGTCAGACAATATGTAGTCTTTTGGACAGCAAGAGATGCCCCAGCAGCTTTTGTGTTGTCTCACTTGAGGGCCAGCACGTGGCAGACTGTGTCACTGAGGAACAGCTCAGAGGTACCAGTACCCACACCTGGCTCTGTGGACCTGGGGCCTGAAGGCAGGGCAGGGCCAGTCTGCACACAGGGAATTGTCTCGAGAAATTGCAGAAAAAATTCTGAGATTGAGTCTATGAAAGCTTGGAAATAGCCTCAGAAAGGTCTCCTGGAGCAGGAGTTACGTTTCTGAACAACAGGAAGAGGCATCCACACAGCCTCTTCTGCTCCTCAGCCTACAAATTCTGACTACAAATTTCCCTTGGCATTTTACTAATGGCTTACTACACAATTCCTCACAGGTACCATCAGCCTTTAGGCACAGTGCTAATCACTTCAGTAGCTTCACTTTAAATGCTGTGTACACACCTGATTCAATTCTTCCTGAACTCCTTGCACACCATCTTGGGCTCCTGCTTGCGTGCTCATTTCCAGCCACTGCTGCAGAATCTGTGCCTGCTGCTGACAGCACCTGATAAAATGGATTAGAAGGATTCTTATCCAAATTAAGAGCTCAACAGTCTAAGCCAACTTAGACTTGCAATTGATACTTGCAATGAGACCCATATTTTTGTCTCAAACCAGTCAATGGTTAAAATCTTTTTTATAAAAGGTAAAAAACCCCAAAAAACCACCAAAAGATGCTGGAAAGCAGAGGAATCTGAAAACTGTCATCTCCACTACCTGCTTCTAGCCCCTGACTTCTTCTTTTCCTGGCAGTTAAATCCCCCCCCGGCCCCATTTCTTTTGAGCATTTCTGTTTTCTTGTTCTAGTAGAGCAGTTAGCAAATACCAGCCATATTTAATTTTTTTAACTGAAAGCTGCAAAAGCTCACTCCTCACTTCTCTTGATAAAATAACTAAAAGCTAAATTTCAACTGCCCTGCCCTATTCATTTGTACTATCTCCTGATTACACCCAGTGACACCTCTGACATGCTTCTGCAAGAGCTGCCAAAGGTGTAATTAAACCTCTTGGCTGAATACAGGAGTTATGCACAAACTCTCCTTCACCTGGAGTGAACTCCAAAGGAGAAAATAAAAATCTCTGGAACTTTTCTCTGTTTCATTCATAGCTCTGCTGTGAACAGACTGATTATTTCTAGGGTAGATACACAGAAAAAATGCAACAGAGTGGACAGCATGAAGAGAGGCTAGCTAAAGGGGCATTACTTGAGTTCCTGCTTCCTGCTGTAGTAGTACTGCATCTGCTGCTGGATATGCCAGAGTTCAACTTCCACCTTTCTCTCCAACATCATTTGTTCTCTGGAACTGTGCTCCCTCTTCTCCCCTTCAGCTGAATGGAAGATATAAGGCACAATCAATGGAGGTAGAACAGACATCCACTCTTTCTTCATATTAAAAAAACAGAAAATATTTTTAATGACAGGAAAAAGGAACCCTCCCAACTGTGTTTGGTTACCCTGTGACATGTACCTGTTCACCCCAAAGGATCAGGTACAGTGAGAGGGCAGGAGTTCTGACAACAGAACAACCTCTTGAAGACTCAGTCTGAACACATAAAAGGTACAAACTGCTCTGGTGGATGGTTCAGTACTACAGATACTGTTTTGGCCTGTTCAGGATTTAGTCTAGAAGTAATTAAGTGCAGTAGTCCTGCAGAACAAATGTCATGCTCTGATGTCATTTAAAACACCACAAGGGGAGGTGCTCAGCACCATCTGTCCCCTTTACAGCCATGCTGCAAGTACAGGGAAACCTCAGAGAGCTCTACAGGATGAACTTCCCTCCTGAACAACTTCTGCTGTACAGGTGAACACCCCAGCACCTGAGCTGCTAAATGAATGTTCAAGCAGCTCCCATCCTTCAATGCCCAGGGCAGGGCTTTAGTAGAATCCACACAACTGCAGTCCCTTCCCAGAAAGGAGTTCTGGTACCCTTTACCTCCTGATGCTGGCACACAAGGTTGCCCTCTCTCCCACACATTTTGTGTCACACTTGCAGTCTCACATAGATTAGACAGAAGGATGAGCAACTGCTCCTGTTTGGATCTGAGGATGTACCTGCAGTCTGGTGATTCCCTTTTCCCACCAAGCCTTCAGATGACAGCAAATGTGGCTGCAAATTTGGTGGCAACTTCTTCTCCACAGAATTCTGTTGAGAGTCTTGGGAATGGGCTCCTTTGTGACCATTGGCAGGCTGCCCTCCTCTCTGGAAGATCAGAATGATATTGGGGTTTTCCTCAAAGGGGTTTCTTAAGTAAACCCTACAAGTAGGATGTGCCTGACCTACTCAGTCCTACTCCCACTCAGACAACTCCTGTAGGTGCTGAGCCCCTCTCATCAAATCCCACAGAAGAAGCAGAGCTTTAAAGATGGACTCTGATTTCTAGCATGGAGATACTTCACCAAAATTAAAACTTCCCATTTTGTGTGAAAAAAAAAGCAGCACCTATTTGCAGGTTAAGTGAATTTCAATTTTTTTAAGCTCTCAGACACACCTACTGCTCCTAAACTGAGTTTCTCTTAAATCCCTGCAATCTGGACAGCAAACTGTAACTGCTCTGAACTCCAAAGAGGCAGAAGCACCCTCACATCACTTGCTAGGAAAAGATCTGGCCAGGAAAAGGCAGGAAATACAGAACCCCATATGTGGATTACTTCAGACTAGGGGTAAGCAGTTCTTGGGCATTCAGAGGCAGTTCACTTGGTCAGCTTTAAAGATCACAGCTAGAACAAGTGCAAACCAGCTCAACCAGGGCAGCTCAGAAGAACCACAAGAAAACACAGCAGTGAGCAATGGGCCTGCAGGCAGCAGCCCAGTACACACACTAACTGTTCCTTCAGCAGTTCACTCACCTCTTCTGAGCCAGCTCTCATGTGGGACCTGAAAGATGCAGGAGAGCACAGCTCTGGCCCCTGCCCAGCTCTGTGCATGTCCTGTGTCCATGTGGGGAGAGAAGCACCAGTGAGAGAGGGATGGGGATGAGCAGCACTGTCCATCTGAGACAGACATTTCCAGGTACTTTCTTCCAAGTGAGGTGTCAGCATTAAGTTCCCAGTCTGTGCAGGACATTTATTCACAGATGTTTGCTGAAAGGGCACCTCTGACCTGTACAGGAAGAAGGATAAGGTCACTGTACACTGCAACCTGTTGGTCTTGTCCTTTGGGGTCAGTGCAAAAAAGGGGAGACTCCTGTCATTCCCCTGTAAGTCACCCTCTTTTCTTTAGTTCTAGAATTAGATTTTCTACCTAGTAAAAGGAGGTCCCAGCAGTTCCTTGCTTTCTAGAGATTCCAGAGGGAAGTCAGGCTTCCGTGGTGGCAACCTGGCTTGTTGAATGGCATTTCTGAAAAGAAAACCAGAACAAAGAATGCCCCAGACTTATGATTATTGTAAACTGGCATCAGCTGGATGCAGCTAAAGAAACAGTCCTGTTTCATCATTCATCCCTGCTCTCAAACATTCTCCTTGCATGCAATCCTGATTCTTAAAGATTAAATGTCAACCTGTGCTAATGTGAGAATCTAGTTCACCATGTGAGTGGTGGGGCCAACACCAAGAATGGTGGAAATGACACAACTGAAGAGGGCAGAAGCTCTTCTTTTGGCAGATATACTTGCTTACAGCAATGTGAAGTTACAATCTCATTTCCCTTTAAGATTCCTGTCCTGCACTGAGAAGATTCACAGACAATTCTTCCTTGCAACTGCCCCATAATCAACAGGAATTTTTTAAGGAATAGCTTCCCCAGGGAAAAGAAAGGGGCAAGAAGGAACTTCAGCTTCTGTACACCAGGATCTTGATATTTATCATTTCATCAGGTGACTTCAGTGCAAAAAACAAGAGCTCCAGTGGCACTGGGCCAGTTGGGCAAGATAAGCTCTCCTGATGGCTGAAGTCCCATCAAAGGTATCTTTCAGTGTTTCTCTGTATAACTGTTCCTATGACAAATGGCCAATGCTCCACAAATTCAGTTCTGCCTTGAGAAACACAAGGTGGAAGGTCTATAGCTGAGCTGGTTCTACCTGTCACTGGCAAGTACAGACACAAACACCTCCCTGTGGTGTGGGCTGAGGTTTGCATTACACAGCAGCTCTTGTATAACTCTGTACCACCAGCCACAGGATGCAGTCAGAGCTAAGGAGAATGCATGGAACTAAAATTATCAATGAGAAAACTTGGAAACACAAAAATTATGCAGATAGATTATATATGTGCAAAGTTATTTGTATGCCAGAGAAACAGGGGAGGGACTGGAAATTTACACTCACAGGCCACGGAGCACTGAGCCCCCCTCAGCAGGGAGAAGTGGTATATGTCTGCATTTTGAAGGCCACGGCTCTTCCTCTGATGAATGTCCTCTTGTCTCTGGACTAACATCAGGCCTTTTAAATGGCACTTGCTTCTCCAGAGGTGGCAAAAAAGAAAAAGGCTTATTTAATTTCTGGGAGAGAGCCTCTGTTTCCACAGCATGGCACAACAATACACTACTGGTGAAGACTGCAGGCTGCCTGCCAACACAAAGAATAGCAGAGCATCTGATGGCTGAGAGCAGGAA